TTCTGCCTGCTGGGGCAAAATGTGGCCCTGAAGGAGAGGAAAGGGGGAGAAAGAGGAGTAAACTGAGTATTTTGTTAAAGCAACTTAACAATACAAGACCAGAGGAAATGAATCAGAAAAGAGTGATTTCTGCAAGTGTGTAGTTTTTTGCTTTGTGAAAACAAGTTTAAATCCTGGCCTCCCGAGAGCCAATAGGACCCATGTTTAACTTAGCATGGTAGTATGGGGTCCTGGTTCTGTTGCTATGGGCACAGGAAGGTATTTTCAGAAGAACAGGGGATTGTTAGCTTGGCTTCTATCTTTACAGCCTTCTAGGAGCACTTCCCAGGATTGTTTTGTTTTTTTGGGGTTTTTTTGGGTTTTGGTTTTTTTTTTTTTTTTTGGTTTTTTGTTTTGTTTTTTTGTTTTGTGATTTTTTTTTTGTTTTGTTTTGTTTAGGGTTTTGTTGGTTTTTTGTGTTGTTGTTTTAGTGTTATGTTTTCCCATAAGAAATAGCCTCCTCCTTCCTTACCTTACACCTGAAAACACACAGCTCTCTTCTAATGCCATCTTCCACAGAAAATGAGGTCATCTGCACCTCACACAGTGGGTCTTGTATTGGTGGCACTTGGCACAATCCCCTGGTTCCTTCCTGCTGCAGGCTTACCCCAGCTCTGGGGGTCTTAAAACAGCCCTAAGCTGTGCCCCACCAAGGAGCTCAAAGGGACCATCTGGCCAGCAGGGACTTTGAAGGACTGTAAATTGACCTCTGCTTTTCTTGGACTTGCACTTTGTGAGGAGGTATGAGAAAGTTTCCTTTCTCTTTTTCCTCTGTTAGCGTGCTTTGCTCCTTTGGAGAGGGCAGAATGGGAGGATGTGCTCCCAACCCCACACCCAGGGAGTCTTGGAGCAATCTGCCTGTGCATGTACAATCTGTTGATTATTAATATCCGTTTGTGGGCAGATTGTTGGTGGGGTTTTGTCTTTGTGCATTTCCAAACCATCCTGGCCCTTTCTAAGGGTGGTTTCCTGGAACAAGCCCTCTGTGGGCTTTGATTGGCTGATTCATGATTGCTATCCTTAGACTAAGATTGCTGGGTGAGAGGGGTGTTTAATCTTGGTCTTTCACATGGACTGACAGCTATTTCACACCTCTGGTGGTTTTTCACAGTGCTTTCAATATGTGCTGATGCTGAAGTGGAAATATTGCTCTTTTCCCTCTCCATTAGGGCATATGAATAATTGACTATCTGCAGATATTCTGGAACATCAGTTCCTCTTTGTTCCTCCACTCTAGAAACCCTTGGAATAAGGAATAATGGAGTAAGGGTTTCTAGAGTGAAGGAAGAAAGAAGCTGATGGTACAGGAGGAAGGAGTGGAGGAAGAAAGAGGAGCCGATGTACCAGAGGCTGGTACATTCTGGTGGGCTTTTTTTGGTCTTGTGTTGCTTGGCTCATTTATCCATAAGTGGTGACAGCAGGCAGGGATTGAAATTCTGCTCTGAACTTCCATAGCCTGTGCCCTACCTGCTTTTATTTGTGCAATATTTCCTGGCTCCTGACTGCAGGCCCTTGAAAGTAGCAGGGAAGGGTTTTGAAGCAAGTCTCTGACCTCTTCTCTTGCATGTTTGCAAGGAGCAACATTTTTCTTGCTACAGCACTGGCTGTGGCTGGGCAGGATGTGTGTCCATACACAGCATACAAGTGGGTCAGGGGAAAGATGTTTTGCATGTTCTGTATGATCTTGTCATTAAGGCCAGAACACAAATTCCTGTGTTTTTTGACTTGACCTGATGTAATGGAGCAGCCCAACAGGGGCTGAACGTGGGGGTGATGGCTGTGACTAAGGGTGATGCCAACAGGTGTGTGCAAGACCCTCTGTCCCCAGAGCTCAGGGTTGCAGTATCTGATGACAAAAGGTTGTCCTCTTCTCCCAGGCAACCAGTGACTGGACAAGAGGACATGGCCCCAGACTGCACTAGGGGAGATTGAGGCTGGACATCAGGAGGACTTTCTTCACTGAAAGACTGTCAGGCATTGGAATTGGCTTCTCAGGGATGTGGTGAAGTCACCATCCCTGGAGGTGCTCAAGAAATTATGTGACACTCAGTGCCATGGTCTAATTGACCAGGTGGAAATTGTTCAGTGGTCGGACTCATTGATCCTGGAGGTCTTTTCCAAACTAAATGATTCTGGGACAATGGCAGGATCCACTGACAGACCTAAACAAAGTAAAACGGTGGACCAGGTCTGGGGGGAGTCCTGCTGTGAACAGCAGGAGACTGGACTGGAGATGGAGCTCCCTTGAGTGCTGGTAAAAGAATTATCCAGTGCACAGCATCAGAAATGCCCTTATCTGCAGCACAGGCCTGGGGCTTCTTGGGGGTGGGGCTGCACACTACACATGGTCCCAGTGAGGGCTGGAGCCCTGGAGCTGAGCTGGGCTCATGGACAGGGGGTCATGGTTCTGGGCCCCCAGGTGAGATTGGCAAGGCTATTAAGGCCACAGGTGTCCTCAGGGCTCTGAGAGCCAGAGCTCTGTTAACACATCTCAGGATTGAGGCATGTTTTGTTTTTATGAAAAAACACTAACTGGTCAATGTGCTATCATAAAGCATAGTTTGCAGTCGCCTTGTCCAAGGGAAAGCATAATCACAATTTTCTTGCTATTCAACAGCCTTTTTGAAAAATGGCACAAAAATTGCATTGGTCAGAAACCAGTGAAGTGTGGGTATGAGAAATGAAACAAAAGAATGTTGTAAGTAATTGGTTGATCTTTTTATAGGATGGCTGAAAATGCATCTTCCGAAATACACAAATTGGAGGAGTCTGAGAAGGCCCAGGAGGATATTCTGTTATTCCAAGCCATGTATCCCTTGTCTTATTCTTGTCATATTCTCATGGATTTCTCTTCAGATCCCAGTATGAGCAGTTGATTAGCAAAGCATCAATTCTGCTATCAAATAAGTGATGCCCCTGAATGCTAATAGACACATCTTTATTTGAAATATTATTTCTCCTCAAAAGAGCTTCAAGAAGGAAATCTAAGTGAGAGTTACTGAAGAATCATTAGCACTGTTTTTTTGAAATGCTGTCCGAAAAATCTGTATATTCTTTTGGTTTTAGCTTAGGAAAAATATAAGGGATCAAAATAGGACTTTTTAAGGAGGAACTTTCATTAGGGCTGCCTGTGTATGAAGGGGTGTGCCAATGGAGTTGGACCACAATATGAACTCTTTTTAGCCCAGTCCTGTGAGACCTTTTGAGGATAGCAATGGAGGGAATAAATTGCAAAGATCTAAGCCCTTGCTTTAACTTTTCCCACAGATGAGCACTAGACATGTCTGGTCAAGATACAGAAAAGGGCTTTCAAACACACTTTTTCACAGATATTTTTAATGTTTCTTTGAAAACTTGTGCTGCATGTTAGCAAGCATGTCAGTTCCTGCCACAATTTGAAATTCTAAAATACTGTTAAAGAGGTTTCTAAGCACTATTTCTAATTCAACTAGAGTTAGGAAATTCTGGTTGTCTACTTGGGTGTTCCTGAAACTTCTAGCTCCAAACTGCAGATGCAAGAAATCTGTATGAGATGAATTATTTTACAACTCATAGTATATACTATCTATCTCATAGTATATCTATCTATATATTTTACAACTCATAGTATATCTATTCTTGGGGAATCCATGAACTCTTTCTGAGAGGCCATAAAAGATAATTATCACCAGGCTGAAGTGCCCTAAACAGATTTGCATTTCCACTGGAAGAAGTATAAGGCTCTACAAATGCAAAAAAAAAAAAAAAAAATAGCCTTGAATGAATGCCTTAAATAACTCTTCCTACAAGGACATCATAATGTCTAAAGTTTATCCTCAGTCATAACTTACATATTGGGACAGCAGCTGGACTTAGTTTTGGTTTTTGTTCTGTACCCCTGAGCTGATTCTCTAATTATGATAGTTCTTCCCTCAGACAAGTGTTAATTTTGCTTTTTTTCCTCTCTGCCTGGGCACTGAGGTTAATTTCTGCTGCTCTATAAAACCTTGTTTGAAATTAGCCAGTAAGACCTAAAGCTATTGGAGGTGAGAGGGACTCAGTGTGTGTGTGCCCATCCACATGTGTGGATGTGTGATAAGTTGCTTAAGCTTCATTTCCTTACAGAAAAAAATAACCTGAGAAAATCAGGCTAAAAATTACTTTAATTGAATAGCCGTAGAAACAGACACTGGATCAATTAAGCAGTGTATTGTTTTAATCGGAGCGGTCTTATCTCTCTAGGAAAAGAACTACATGTCATAGAGTTTAGGCAAATGACTTTTAACAAAACTTAGGATAATTTATATTAAACAATACTAAAATTTTAAATGAATGAACTTTGACAGAAAAAATAATAAACTTAACTTCAACAGAATACCAAACTGATAAAATCTAATTAGTGGTTAGACCTAAAAGTAATAAAAGTTGTTTTGCTAAGATCATGTCAAGTTAACATATTGAAGTTTAATAGCTATAAATGTTTTAACTTATTTTGATACTCTTAATACAAAAGATACTGAGAATTTGAACAATACATGCTTAAAATAAAAACAATGATTTTGCTGAAGGAATTACAAGGAGGGTGTGGTAAAGTCGTAATTTTGTGATGTAGATATGCACATAGATAAGAGCTTAAATTTTTAATTATTATAGTAAAAGCTAGCAGCATTGCAACTGTGTCATGGTGTACACAAACAGCTTTGAATTCCTCCAAAACTGTAAAAAACTGTAAAAATTACTTCCCTTCCCCACCCCCCCCACTACCCCNCCCCCCAAGGTCTCATGGCTAAAACAGCCCTTATTTTATTTATACCAGAGCCTCAGGGTCCTTCATGATAAATACAACAGGGTCCTTCATGATAAATGCAAGGCCTCAGGAACATGCCCTGAGGCCTTGGGGCTCTGCACAGAACAGTGTCTGTGCCATGAGATGATGCCCCCTGCCCACCCCTGACAGGTGTCCAAGGGTGCTGAGCAGCCCCTCACCAATGGTACCGGTAACACTTGAAGTGGAACCAGAGCTGGAAGATGCCATTAGCAAACTGGCAGCGGAAGCCATGGTGGTGGGAATACTCCCACTCCCTATTGACAATCTTGAAGGCTATGTCCTCATAGGGTGGCCCAGCATGGAAGTGCAGGATGGCAAAGTCCTTGTTGTCCTGGCAGGCCTCCAGGAAGTACTTGGGCATCGAGTACTTGTCAATGAGGTTGGGGTAGAAGATGTTGAACTTATAGCCCTGCATGGTCTTGGGTGGGGAGTTGTCAACGTCATAGTGGGTCAACAACACACTTGTTCCACTGGAAGCCTGTGTGCACACGGTTGAAGAAGCGGGGCTTGCGTGGCCGGTACTTGTCAGCCCACAGACAGGCCTTGCCTGTGAGCAGCATCTCCACGCTGAACTGTGCCTCGTCCGCATCCATACCCTCCTTAGCCTTATCGAAGAAGATGTTGGTACTCTCAGAAGCATCACCTGTTACCTGGAGCTGCTGGCGCAGGAGCAGCAGCTGGTGTGTGTCCTCCTCGGCCTCCAGCACATGGGCATTGAAGGGCAGCTCGTTGGGGCCCAGCAATCGGGGACTGTACTTGCCTGCATCATAGTCATCCAGGCTCTGCTGGATCAGATCCTCCTCCATCAGCACAGCCTCCCCCTCTGCCTCTGTGTCCTGCTCTGGCTCTGAGGATGGGCTTGGCTGTGCCTCCAGACTCTCCTTGGGATCCAGCCTGTTGCTGGGGGAAGCTGGCTCCTGCTTGATGATGGGGAAGAGTGGTTCACACTCCACACGCTGCTCTTGTTTCTGCTTGTAGAGCTTCTGACGCAGCATGTCCTGGTGCTGCTCCTGTAACCTGGCCTGAGCCATGTAAGCCTTCAGCTGCTGCAAAAGGCTCTCCTGGTACCCAATGTCCAGGTTGGGCCCTCTTGCCTGGATCTTGCTCTCAATGCTGTGGTACAATGCTTGCAGCTGGTTGTATGTCTTCCCCTTGAACATGGACTGCACATCTGAGCTGACCAAGGCATTGACACCATCACGACGCTCCTCTGGTCTTCCTTTCCTAGAGGCCTCTGGCTTGCAGAGCTTGGCTATCTCATCCTCTGTGATGATGGTCATGTCCCTCCAGAAGTCCGTGTTCTTCCCTTGCTCCAGCTCTGTGTACACCTGGATGTCCTCCACCAGGTCCTCCATGTCAGAGACAGTCAAGTCATTTAGGAAGTTGTAGGGCTCATGCATCTTCACAGCCAGGTCATTGTCCTCTGTGCTAATGTACTTGGCCAGAAGATCAGTGGGTTTCACCCTCCCATCCCAAATCTGGATCTCAGACCTCAGCTTGGCGTGCTGCAAGTGGAAGTTGTCCTCCTGCTCTTCCCATGTTTTGAAGTGCTCTGCCTCTTTCTCCCGCTGCTGCATCTCCAGCTCCTGCATGGCTTTTTCCTGCTCCCGCTCCAGGCGCATCTTCTTCACCTTCTGCAGCTCCAGGCGATTGTCCTCCTGGATTTGCTTGATCCTCTCCTTCAGGTCCTTCTCATCCAGATGGCTGATCACTTTCTTTTCCAGTGCCTTGCTCCAGATAAATGTGCCAAGCAGGTTTTTGTTCCCAAAAGGTTTGTCAGTGTTGGTGTAGCCTGTGTACTCCTCACCCCGGCCCATCTTCTCCCGTTTCTTTATCTCCTTGGCCTCCTTCTTGGCCAGCCTCTGTGCTTACTTCTCCTTGGGCCTTCAGAAGAGCTGCCTGTTTCTTCTCCTCTTCCCTCAGGCTCAGCTGCTGCCCCAGCTCCTCCCGGGGACACGGTGGGGCAGGGGAGGTGATGGAGGACACAGAAGACTTGGATCCATCCCTCCTGTGGTGCCACTCCTGGCCCCGTGCTGCCCTCTCCCACCCGCGCTCCAGGCTGGAGCCGGAGGAGCAGCCCCAGGACCATGAGCACTGTTTCCTCTGGTCCTGGTACTGGTCCTGGCTGTGGTGTCTTTTCTTCTTTTTCCATTTCTGTCTGTCATTGCCAGAGTCCGAGCCAGATCTTGGCTCCTGGTGCTGACTCCAGCTCTTGCTCTTGCTGTGGTGTTGCTGCCTGTGGCTCCCGGACCTCAAGCGCCCCTGATCCCGCTCCTGCTCCCATTCCTTGTCCAGGTCCCTCTCCTGCTCTGAGTGGTTACCTCGGGCTGGGCTGCACAGCCTGGAGCCCATTGGCAGCAGCAGCTCCACCCCAGCGCCTTGCTGCTTGGGTCCTGCTCTGCTGGCCAGTTCCTGTCTGTGCTTGTTTCGTATTGTCTCGCAGGTGGTCATAGCTGTAGTCTTTTGCCACTTTGTTGTCTTGGCTTGAAAAGACAGGTGTTTGCTAAGGAAAGTAGGAACCTCTCTTGAAATGGAAAATGTAAATCCTCTCCTTCTGAATTATTATAATTTTAAAATTAAGGGGCTCTCAGGCAAAAATATGGGAGTAGGAATAATAGGTTTTTTAGAAAAAAGTTAAAATATAGTAACACAAAACAACACTGACAGAGTCAGACTATGAACTGAAACCATGTGGGTCAGGGTGTTGGTAGCAGTCTCATTAAGTGGTAGCTGCAGTGCTTCTGGAGTGATAGATGTGCTTCTGTTGAAGCAGTGATCCTGTAGAAGGGTGTTGTTTTCCTCTGAAGATCCAGTGATGTAGATGGGTCTGGTCTTCTCGGAATCCAGTGGAAAGACAGCTGCTCCTCTCGGAAGCCAGTGGGAAAAGGCTGGCTGTGGTGTTCCAAATCTCAGATTATATCTAGGTAGGAATGCTTGGCTCCTCCTTCTGGGCAGAGCATCTCCCAATGGGATGATGTAATTTTATCAGTGACACTCAATTGTCCATTAACAGAACATATTTCCTGTAGGGCCCCTGGAGGGAAGCTTGGCTCTGGAAGGGATAAAGAAAAATTGCCCCACCTGGTTATAGCAGATGGCCCGATTAATGGAAGATAACTGCCTCACTTCTAGCAGATACCAGTAGAATGCACACCCCAAGCCACATCCTGCATTTGCAACCTAAGACATTTGTAAATTCAGTTTCTGAGTTTTGTCTCACTGCAGGCTGTGGCTCACAGCACACCTTACTGCAACACCAAGGTATTCACCCAGTTATGTTTGGTGGTGTTTCTTTACTATGTATTGTCCAAATTTACAGACCTTTGTCCAATCTGTCATGGACTGAGAACTGCCAGAACCATTACTGCAAACTCTACTTTAAATGCCCAGACTTATTATCATATGAAGTAAAATTGTTTGCAAGCAAATGTGGTTTTTTGCTAACAGACCCATAGAACTGGGGTAATTTCAGCAAACTTTTTTCCTTTTAGTATGACTATAGATGATTTTATATAAATGAGTCAAATATGGTTTTAATATTTTAAATTACTTATACTTCAATAGTTATTAGCTGGTTAACTTTTTTTCTCCAAGAGGGATATCAGAGTTACTCTTTTTTTCTGGTAATGTGGAGCTGATGGAATTGTAGCTTAATTCCCTGCCTTAGCCATGAAGGATGATCCCAGGATGCAAAGCTCTGGCATGGGTAAAATGAATTCCTCACTGGGGATAGTCTGCAAGGCATATGCTCCCAAGTTGGTTAAATGTCTCAAATAACATCTCCCTTGCTATTTGACTGGGGGAAACAGCTTTGGCTCTCTTTGCAGGGGCTCTGATGATGTGTGTCAGTGGGGAAGTTTGAGGAGGTAAATGACCACAGTTCATCAGCAGTTCTTTTACATCATGTTTCTGATCAGTGGGTATGCTTCTCCTGATGAGCTGCAAATGTGTACTTAATATTATATTAGCTATTAAATCCCAAAGTCAACAGTTTCCCTGGTAAGTTCAGAACATTTAAAAAATTACTATGTATTTTAAAAAAAGGAATATTTTTTTTTTTCAATGTAAAAGAAACCTTATTAAAATATTTACATATATTTTAATGATGCTGTATTGTTTTCCAAAAGCAGTGATCAGCTGTGATGGATATGTTTGTTTGTTGTCATTCTCCACCCCCTGTAGCCTCCAATTCCTGTCCAAGAGGAGAAAGTGTTTTTCCTTTTCCAGGATCTGGAGAAGGCCCAGACTTTTAATGCACTGTTAAAAGCCTGCATTGGAGCCTGGGGGCCTAAAGCAAATGTGGAGGCTTTGGGATATTGTGGTCTCCTTGCAGTGTGGTGAAGGGAATTGTCATGAGAATATCCCATCTCCTGCCTGTGGAACACCAAGAGGAGAGACCCCTTGGTACTTCCTGTAGCTGCCAGCCTGCTTAAACCCTTCAGCAGGAGAGAATGAGCACCTCTTTTTGTGTGCCACCCTTCTCGTCCTCTCTGTCACAGTGTAAGAGATTTGCAATAATAACTCTGCCCGGCCTGTTGACTGTTGGGTTTGTAACATCTAGATTTGGACTTTTTATGAAGCTCATCAGGCTTAATTCTTGAGTCCAGATAATGGATTGGTGTCCCCATGGTAGTGACATGAGCTTGCTGAGGAAATGACAGTGCTCTTACAGTAGGCAATGAGAGGCCTGATCCCACTTGAACAGGGAGAAGCTTCCCTGTTGACCTCACTGTGGACTGAATTAGTCTCCTGTCGTAGGTTACAATATAAAGATGTATTCCATTCCCATCCTCAAGAGCTGTTGAAACCAGGAGGGGCATTGTTTTTTCCTTATCTCCTATTAATGGGCCCATCAATGCCTTGCCACATGACTCAGAGATAACTCCCTCCTGGAGCCATTACTGTTTAATTGGTAATGAAGGACCCACCATGTGACTCAGAATGATATCAGCCCATTGTGAGATGCTCTGCCCAGGGAGCCCATTGTGGGATGCCCTGCCCAGGGTTGGGTTGGGGGGGGGGGGGTGGCTAACCATCCCCACCTGGATATAATCTGGGGTTTACGACAGAACAAGCAGCCCTTACCCACTGGTTTCCAGAGAAGAGCTACATCTAGCAGGGTTTCAGGTTGTATTCTGACCCTGTCAGTGGTTTTTCTTTTGTATTATAGCATGTGTCAAGAGCTGTTGAAACCAGGAGGGGCATTGTTTTTTCCTTATCTCCTATTAATGGGCCCATCAATGCCTTGCCACATGACTCAGAGATAACTCCCTCCTGGAGCCATTACTGTTTAATTGGTAATGAAGGACCCACCATGTGACTCAGAATGATATCAGCCCATTGTGAGATGCTCTGCCCAGGGTTGGGTTGGGGGGGGGGGGTGGCTAACCATCCCCACCTGGATATAATCCGGGGTTTACGCCAGAACAAGCAGCCCTTACCCACTGGTTTCCAGAGAAGAGCTACATCTAGCAGGGTTTCAGGTTGTATTCTGACCCTGTCAGTGGTTTTTCTTTTGTATTATAGCATGTGTTTTGGTTTTTTCCCTTTTCCTAATAAATTGTATTTCTGACTTGGAGTCTCTCACTGGTTTTGCTGTCAAACCAGAACAGCTCCCAAGTAAATGTCAGCTCCTCTGAAGCAGCAGTCAGCTGTTTTAGTGCTGCAGGAAGGATAATTTATAAACAAATGGTGTTTTACCCCAATTTCAGGCTGGCAGCAAGTTCTTATATCCCTACAGGAACAGAGGGTGTACTCACCAAATGAGTGTTGTGAGCAAGTATAAAGACGACAAGTTGTCAAATGGATCTTTGCTGCCTAAGAGGAAGGTAAATAGTGAGCAGGAGAAAAATGGATGTGTAGTTGTGCCTTGGGAATGTGCAAGCATTCAGTGAGCAGCTGTGCTGTTCTGAGCACGCCAGGGCACTGCCCTGTGCTGTTTGATCTGGTCATGGTGTGCAGCCTAAGTGGTGGGTAGTTGTGCCTTGGGAATGTGCAAGCATTCAGTGAGCAGCTGTGCTGTTCTGAGCACGCCAGGGCACTGCCCTGTGCTGTTTGATCTGGTCATGGTGTGCAGCCTACCCCCCCCCCCCCCCCAGCAGATGTTTAGAGGTCTGCCATAAACTTTATTGGGACCTTGGGTGCTTTTAGGGGAGTAGAAATGAGGATGGTCCTGACAGTGCTGTTAAACTTGAGCTGGTATGTCCCAAGTGGTGAGTCATGACTTCTGATGGGTTCTGAAAGATTTCAAAGAGGTGCCAGGTTGTTTGGGCTCAGGTGCAGCACTGCCTGCAGCGAGTCTGTAGTGTTCCTGCTCCAATGTGGTGTCACTAACCTCTAGGTTTTTGGTTGGGTTTTTTTTTTTGTTTTTTTTTTTTTTTTTAATAATGCAAAAGGGATATTTGTGGAGTTTTGAGCTTCTTTCTGACTTAGGTTATTTGTTGATTTTGGAAGCTGTAAACAATAAGCACAGGGGTAAGAATCAGTATCTAGAACAGTGTTTGTGTGGAGGGAGAAAGGTTCAGTGGCACAGAGCTGGCTGAAGAAGTTGATACTTTTTCCATGTGGCTGCTCTAGGCCATGTGATTCAGGCCTCTAGAATCACCAGGTCTGTAGTAGTTGATTTTTTTCCCTGGGTAAAAGGGATGAGAAGAGGCTTTAATTACTGGCTGAAAATGTTTAAACTGGCATGAGAACATCTACGTGCATTTAATGGTAGGAGCTCAACACCTATGGGGTTGGGAGAAGGTCAGCTTTGCATTTGGCGTTTGCAGCTGGTTCTTCTCTCTGCCACCCTACACTGCTGCCCATGAGGGTTGTGTAAAAGCTGCTGAGCCAGAGGTGGGTTGCCATGTCTGAAAGACTGAGACGTGATGGTCATCCCTGCTTGTTTCTTTGACATCACAGGCAGGAATAGATCCTTGTGGTGTTTTTTGGTTTTTTTGGAAACTGACCTCATGAGAAATTAAGACTCAGTGGAAAGACCATTTAGCTATATAAAGTGGGAAGTTGCAAACCGTATGAAGGAGTGTAAGAAGATAGAAATACTTCCCAGGACACTTGTGCATTTGAGAGAAAGGAAATCACTGACTGATTAATTCTGTCTCGAGAGAAAAGGGTTTTTTCCTAAGAATTTGGTAATGTCATGTAGTAATTACATCTGTAAAGTGGTACAGGAATGCTGTGTATTAAGGTCTTTAAATTAAAATATGATTTTGTGATTCAGAGATTTTTATGAAGCTGTTACTAATAGGTTAGTTTAACTACTGTTAGGGATATGATAGAAATTCGTGCCTATGAAATATAGATATATGTATTAAACATGCTATTAAAGGGGGGACCAGGGTTTAATC